GACCCCGCTGGCCAGGAGGAAAAGGACGTACAGAAGGAGGGCGTGCAGGGCGAGGAATACGCCAGTGATGGGAGGCGGTCGAGTGGCGGTGTGCACTCCTCGCAATCACCCTCGCCAGTGCTGTCCCGGGTCTCGTCCGCACGCGTGGCAACAAGGGATGCCTGCAGGCAACCCGCCTTTGCCACGATCCGCAAGCAGCAAGGGCGGCTGGACGTCATACCGTCACTCTCTGTCCTGCTGAGTGCTGTGAGTGCACACGTGCGCATGGGCCTGTTCCTGTGCCAGCTGCTGCCGCCAACACCGGTCGATCCGCTCCAGGCCGAATCAGCGCAGCGGCGACGCAAGCAAGTGAGGGGTGGTTGTGGCGGTGACGACGATGATGATGATGATGAAAGCAACATGAATGGTCCTCATCGTGGTGGAGGTGACGCAAGTGTGTCGCCCACGTCACGGCAACATCACCGTGGCCACCAGCAGCAGCACCGGCAGCACCAGCAGCACCAGCAGCACGATCCCGTATTCCCGCGGCCCGGGCGGGACGGCGCAGTGCAGGATGCGGTGGGCGCCATCGCCACCACCTCCTTTGCCCTCGTGCGCGACTACGTGCTGGCGTTGCTGCTACGAGACTTGCGCTGCGTGCCCACGGTTGTGCGGCGGCACCTGGACGCAGAGTTTTCCGACACATTCAACGACGCTGCCACCCTCGACACGCTCCTGCTCGCGCACGATGCACATCGTAATCGTAATTGCGATCCTGGTGGTGATGATGGTGATGATGGTGTTGGTGGATTGTATGGGCGTCACACCACGCGTCGCGGCCGCAAACACCGCCGTGAGCGCCATCACCACCACCATCATCGCCACCATCATTTCAATGGCGAGGAGGTGAATGGTCGTGAGGATGATGTTGGCCGTGGCGAGGATGTGGTGACAGCAGCAACGATGACTGCCAAGGCGGACGTGAACCGCGGTGACCGGATTGGAGACGTGCACTCGCAAGACTCACCCGCCCAACACCCCCAGCATGAACACCACGATGAACAACAGCAGCCGCAGCAGCCACAGCAGCGGCACCGTGGTCGTGTGCACTCGCATGCGACGACGGCGTCCACAGCCTCCGCTGCCTCGAGCACATCCCATCGTGCGCTGGCGGGAGCCACGCCGTCACCAGGGCTGTCGCCACTCACACCCACGCTGCCGAGAACACCAAACCCAGCACCGCAATCCATGTCACGCGTCGCCCGCAACCCTCCGCCAGCAGCACCCCCCACGCCGACTGCCACTGGTGGTGGTGGCGGTGGCGGTGATCGTGATGTAGGGCGAGGTCGTAACAACACTGGTGGCCCCGCCAACACACATGGCGATGGCACCATGCACGACAACAATGACAACGCGGGCGCTGCCTCGGTGCGTGCGCGTCTCAACGCACTGCCTTCCGCGTTTGTGTTTGATGGCCGTGAGGGCGATGGTGGTGATGATCACGAGCGTGGCGGTACTGACGGCGGTGCTGTGCTGTCGCCGACGAGCAGCGGCGTGGCCGGGAGCGCACACGTCGTTGCGCACTCCACACCAACAGGGGCCAGCGAAGGCAGCAGCAGCACCACCACCAGAAGCGGAGCGAGAAGGACGAGGAGAAGGGAGAGGGGCAGGGAGCTGCGTGGTGGGCATGGTCATAGCACTGGCATCCCTGTACCGGCAACAACGCCAGCGTCCACTGCAGCAAGCAGCCATCGCCATCAGCATCGCCATCATCATCGCCATCATCATCGCAAGCACAACAGGCGCAAGCACAGTGGCGTTGCCAGTACGCATGGACGAAAGGTGTCACTGGTGTCCGTGCCAGCCACGATGTCGCCCTCACCATCCAAAGCCCATCGCCGGCTGTCGTCATCAACATCATCAGTGTCAGCGCAAACGGCCGGGAGGAAGCGACACGGGCGCTCGAAGCACCAGCCGTTTTTCCTCGTGTGGGACACGCTGCAGGCGCCGCTGGGGCCAGAGGTGCTGCCACACATGGAGGAGGGAACCCACGCCAACGCTGTCGACAGCCCACGCGGTTGTGGTGGTGGTGGTGGTGGTCATGATGGTCATAGTGATGGACGCGCTTTCCGTTTCAGCACTGGCAGCGCTGGCCATCATGATACAGATCGTGGTCGTGCTGCTGATGGCGGGGTGTCGCCGTCCGCTGCATCGTCCCTGCGCGACCAATCACACACGCACGAGGTGTTTGCAACGACAGAGCAGACTGTGGCGTCACCACCATTGTCTGCTGATGAGTCGTTGGCCACATCGACAGGAGCATCATCGTCCGTGTCATCATCATCATCATCGTCATCATCGTCATCGTCATCGTCGTCGTATTTTTCGACGTCGCCGTCATCATCGCCATCCTCGTGTTCGTGGTCTGAATCGCGCTCGTGCTCGCCATCACACCATCATGACCACCACCGCTCTGATGGCAGCGACCCCGCTGCTACTGCTGCTGCTGCTGGTGGTGGTGGTGGTGGTGGTGGTGGTGGTGGTGGTGGTGGTGGTCGCCGTGGCCTTCGTCACGACAGCCTCGACGACAATGACGACAGGGATGGCATGAGTGTCGGTACTGGGCGTGGTTCCGGTGTGCACGAGTACTCGCGTGTTCTGGATGAGCTGATGTCGCCGCCACCGCGCATGCAGCGCCGGCCACCAACGCACCACCGCCTCTCCCTCTCCATGGACCCGTACGTGCGCACGACACACACAACAACAGCAACCGCAGCTACAGCAACAACAGGCGGTGCACGGAATGCGTCGGGTGTGGTGGTCGTGGTGACGCCGTCGATGGCAGGAACGCGGCAGGCCAGCCCGTCCGCGCACCACCTCCTCCATCATGGCCACCAGGGCCTGCAGCAGTACGAAACCGATGCTTGCAGGCAACCAGGTGGGGCGAAGAGCGCGTCGTACGCGCCCTCGCGCGTTGGTTCTCTGTCGCCATCGACATCGGCAGCACTGCAGCACCGGCGGGCGGCGTCGCACGACGAGCAGCGAAGCGGCAAACAACGCACACACACGCACAGAGGTGATGAGGACAACCGCGACAACGACAACAGCAGCGCGGTGGAGACGGGTGGTGGTGGCAGGGACGTTGGTAAAGCCACGGGTGGTGGGCGCGGTGTGCACGGGTACAGCTTGGATGACATGGGTCACGAGTACCATTTGGGGCTGGATCCAGCCGACACGCGCCTGCACTACAACCACAACCACCACGACGGCCATCGTCACCACCATCATCACCACCATCACCATCACCACCACCGGCGTCGTCGTCGTCGTCGTCTGCGCAAACGCGTGCAATCTGGCGGGGACGGTGGCAAGTATCACCACGCGACTGCACCCGCCTCACGCGTGGGCGCCATGAGCGATGGTGGCTTTGGCGGTGGTATTGGCGGTACCCACGGCGCAATTATTTTCACGCATGGCGGTGATGACGATGGTGATGGTGCCGGGGAGGATGTCGGGCTGCTGCTGCTGGATGGCAAGGAAGGTGATGAAGGTGCCGGTAGAAGTGGCATCAAGACCAAGGACGCCAGCGCACGCGTGAACAAGGGGCGCGCTGGTGATGGTGCTGCTTCCACTGTTGATGACGACGATGATGACAATGACGAGGTGGAGGAAGACGAAGACGAAGACGGGTATGTGATTGTGAACACGAGACGAGCGTCACGGCGGCCGAGGCTGTCGACCCAAATCCTCACGTCCCGCAGCCCGCTCATCCAGAACCAGCACGATGTCAGGCTGCCTTACTCCTCGTCCAAGGCGCCAGCAACCGGTGACGCTGGTGGTGGCAACATGGGTGGCAGCCTGGGTGCTTCTCGTGTGGGTGGTGCTCGTGGTGGTGGCAGTGCGGCGACAACAGACACGGGTTATGGCACGCAGAGCACAGGTGTTGGTCCCATGTCACGGCAGACATCTTACGCCACGCTGGCTGCAGACGCGCAAGGTGTGTGTATGTGTGTGTGCGTGTGTGTATTTGTTTGTTTGTGTGGATGTGTGTGTGTATTTGATTGTTTGTTTGTTTGTGTGTGTGTGTGTGTGTGTGTGTGTGTTTGTGTTGATGTTTTTTTTTTGTTTGTTTTATTGATTGTGTTATTGCTTGGTTTCGGTTTTGTTTGTTTTATTTTGTTTGTTTGTTTGCTTGCTTGCTTGTTTGTTTGCACGTTGTCCCGTCCTCACCCATCTCTACCACACGTTGTACCTCTCTACCAACACGCCGTTCCGCGTCACGTGTCGTCACTGCATGGCCCCAGATCTTGGTCGGCTGGTGGAGATGTCGGTGCCGGCGTCGCGTGCGGCCTCCCTCTCCCGCCGCGCATCTCCAGACAGATCAGCCAACAACACGCTGTCGTCGTCCCTCCAACACCACCACGACCACCGCCACCATCGCCATCAGCACTATCACCACCATTACAGCAACACCGCGTCAACCAGCCTCTCGTCGTCCCTGCACCACAACAACACGACGTTGTCGTCTTCCCTGCACAACTTCTCTGCATCGTCGCTGCGGGCGCGCTCCAGCGTGCCGGCAGTGCCACCACCATCACTGCAAGCATCAACATCGTCATTGTCGGCGTCAGCATCAGCATCGGCATCGAAGAGTACAGCAAAGACGAAGACGAAGACAAAGGCGACAGCACCTCGCCCCTCCCTGGTCAGCGCCGTCGCGCGCAAGCGCACCACGTTCATTCTCCACGCGGGATTTGCATTCGACATTACCAAGCAGTGCGTTCTGATTGCGGTAGTGTTGTTCGTGCTATGGGAGTGGAGGGACGGGGATTCTCGTGTGTGTGTGTGTTTGTTTGTTGGTGTGTTTGTTTGGAAAATGTGTGTGTTTGTTTGTTTGTTTGTGTGTGTATGTGTGTGTGTGTTTGATTGATTGTTTGTTTGTTTGTTTGTTTGTTTGTTTGTTTGTTTGTTTGTTTGTTTGTTTGTTTGTTTGTGTGTGTGTGTGTGTGTGTGTGTGTGTG